CTGGTACACATTTTCTAGGTGCAAATCGAATTAATTTTCTTATCAATTGTGTAAAATGACCTAAATATTTAAGCGATACAAGTAAGTATCTTCCTGACCCCGTGTACCCGGTACACTATAGTCCTCTAAAATATCCCTTCTTCCGAAAAACTAAAAGACTAAAACTAAAACTAAAAACTCTCACTAAAGAAGTACTTCCGCTATCCCTATTTATATACATATTATTAGACTTAAATTAGCTATACACTATTACGTAGATATAGTATAACAATATAAAAGTCTAATCAGAGTAACCCTGTGACTACACTAAACTGTAAGGTTACAAAAGCTTATTTATAGATGTCACATTATTTTTCGTAACAACAGCCACTTTTCCGACAATGTCAAAATCCCGACAAGTTAGACTGCATTAGGTTAGGGTTTGTGTTAGTTTCGGTCAATTCTTGTCGGGATTTTGTTTATTGGGAAAATGATAGAGATCCTAGATTGGTTAATTTTCTTATATGATAACTGAGACAAATAGAATTACTCAGAGCTTGGATCTATTACCTGAATTTATTTGACGTCATGCTGTAAATCGAACCTTTTTTTTTTTTTTAGAATTATGTTAGGGTTTTAGAGTTAAATTTATTAATAAAAGAGTATATGTAGATTTAGTAGCGAAGTAATGTAACCTGGTCGTAGTTACTGAAAACGTGATTCAAGATATATGACTTGGGTCCTAAAATGCGCATTGATCGACAAAAGCGAAGGCATTTAATAACGCTAATTCGGGTTTGGTTTGAGGCGAAGTTCCATTGAGAACAACAGTGAGGCGTCTCTAGTATTCACTGGTGGGAACTAAAGAATTGTTGTCACTTTGGCCATTTGGCTGGCCAATGTCCGTGGCCATTGGTCAAATTGGGCAAAATAATTTATTTGGCCGAAATAGCCAAATAGTTATATAAATTAGAAACTTTTGGCCGATGTTTGGATACTGGACATTGGCCGTTGTTTATTTTGGCCGGCCGAAGGCCAAAAAACTGTTTGGCCGCAAGAAATTGCCAACACTGAACTAAAGTCATTGTCATGTAACTGTGTATGAATTGTTTATCGTTAGCCGTAGGTTCCGCATCAGTCGATATCTGCATCAGCCAATCTCTGCATCAGCCGCGACATTTAATATAAGGATGGATAATGAATCCAAGTTTTAGTTACTCAGGTTACTCGGTCCAGGGCAAAAAATAGATATTTTTGGCCCTGCTCGGGCCATTAAAAATCAATGCTCGAAAAATTAATTGCAATTAAATTTTTAGCAATCTCACGATCATGTAAAATTATTATAAACAACAATTATGTTTAAATTAATTTTAAATACAGTAATTGCAATTAATTGTAATTAATTTAAATGCAATTATTGTTTATAACAAATTTATTTTCGGCACCCTTGGTCGCAACTGACTAAAGTTACACCTGCCTAAAATTGCTAATCTGATTTCAGGGGCTAATGCAACTTCGATCGGGTGACAATTTCGGTCACGACGATTCATCATTACTTGCGAATGAAATAAGGAAAGACTTTCCAAAGCCTGCACATTGTTAGAAATCAATTTTATACTGGAAAACAAGCACCGATACCCGAAGCCAAGCCCTAATTATGATACTGCAGTTGATTAAGATTGTCCTCATTTAAAAATAGCCATATATTACGCACGTACTCACTCTGGATAATAAGCACATTATATCGTAAAATTGTGTCATGCACGTATTTACGTACGACATATGCTGAATGGATGGTCCAGTTCTATTATCTTACTTATTAATAATACAGGTCATTTGACCACTAAATTTTCCCACGAATGTTTACCAATTATGTCATATACATATATTATTCCCAAATATTGATTTTATTCTGTTATTCAAAAATAATCTGCCGCAGTTAAATTTTTAGCACATAGAAAATTATAAAAATGCTGCCAAAATTCAATATATCGCTAAAATACTTTTACTACCTAAAATTCAATAGATCATTTAAATACTATTATTTACCATGACTTCTTATACTGATAAAGGACCTAAACTTGATTCCGCAAACTATTTTGGATTTGGTAAATTTCTAAAAGGTTATTTTTCTTTCTAGTTATTCAACGTAGCTCTTTTTAATTTTAATTAATTTTATTAGATCATGTAAAGTTTTGGGTAGGAAATGCTAAGCAAGGTATTATTATATTTCTTCATAAACATATTTAATTAGTCGTTTTAATTTTAATCTAAAATTTTCTCGTTTATTTTTTTGTTAGCTGCCTCTTTCTATTGTACCCGCCTGGGTTTTAAGCACATTGGTTATCAAGGTTTGGAAACAGGACATCGAGATGTTGTTTCTCATGCAGTTCGTCAGGGAACAATCACCTTTGTATTCCAATCACCTCTTAATCCGAACGATAAATTGATGAGTGATCATCAAAGTACTCATGGTGATGGTGTTAAAGACGTTGCGTTTACTGTTGATGACGCACGCGGTCTGTGGAATAGTGCAATACAAAGAGGTGGAAAACCAATTAAAGAACCATGGGAGGAACGAGATGAAAATGGAGTTGTCGTAATGGCTACAGTTGGCACTTATGGTGACACCGTCCATACTTTTGTTGAAAGGACAAATTACCATGGTGTTTTCTTACCAAATTTTAAACCAACAACTCTCGAGGATCCATTAGAAGTAACGTTGAAACCTACGCACTTACTATACTTGGATCATGTTGTTGGCAATCAACCTGATTTAGAGATGGAGAAAATTTGTGAAATGTGAGCATTTTAATTTTATGCTCTTTATTATGATTTATTATTATTATCAAAGTTTCTTTGGATTTATAATCGTTTTTTTTTTTTTTCATGCAATAGGTATGAAAAAGTTTTCAATTTTCATCGCTTCTGGTCAGTTGATGATAAACAAATCCACACCGAATATTCTTCTTTGCGCTCAATAGTAATGGCTGATTATGATGAAAGAATCAAAATGCCAGTAAATGAACCTGCAATAGGTCGTAAAAAATCACAAATTCAAGAATTTGTTGAATATTATGGTACGTATTTTGGTTGGGAAATTAAAGTCTTTTTTGAGTTTGATATTAATTTATTTATTTTTGTAATCAGGTGGTGCAGGTGTTCAACATATTGCTTTAAGAACAAATGAGTAAGTTTATTATTCTCTTGTGTAGTGTTCCGCAGACTCGAACTATAGATGGGTGACGAAACTCACGTGACCTGACAAACCTATATAATTTCGTAATTTCGTCAATGACGAAACATGGCGAACATATGAGTTTCGTCATTTCGTCAACGACAAAATAGTTTCGTACCCATCTATAACTCGAACCAAAACCGACTAGCTGGGTTCAATCTCTTGTTAGGCCATAATAGAAATAAGTACAGCCTCTAAATGCAACCCCCTAAATGTATGCTTTATGAAAAACCCTTAAATGCATGTCTTTCTTTACTTGGGTCCAACCAATATAATACTTATAGATTTTTACCTCCCTAAATGCAATGCCCCCCTAAATGCGATATCTCTTTAAATGCAGGTTTGACAATTTTTACATATGGTCCCGTCATAATGCATTTAGAGAGGCCTGACTGTATTGTTTTCGGTTCCCGTTCCGATTCTTTCGAATCGATTCAAGGTTTTTTTAGGTTTTGGGTCTACAATTGGATTTTTTCAGTTTAGTAAAAACCCAACCCATGCAGAACACTATTTTTATACTTTTTTTCAAATACAAAAATTTTTATATATGAATGCTCACGAGTAATATTTGACCCCACAAAATAACGTACGATTTTGCCTAATCAAATTTCAAGATCAGGCTGATCTTGAAATTTGATTAGGCAAAATCGTACAATATTTTGTGGGTCAAATATTGCACCTTTTTGCTCTCGGAGCACTCATATATATATTAAATCATTTAACGTTAATCACTTAACGTTAATTTTGTCGAATTTTCAGTATAATTACTAGTGTATCGAATCTTAAATCACGTGGATTGGAGTTTCTTACAATCCCTGCTACCTATTATGATGACCTTCGTTCACGACTTTCTACATCTAATGTTAAAATTCTTGAAGACATTGACCTTTTACAAAAATTAGATATTTTAATCGATTATGATGAAGAGGGATATCTTCTTCAGGTACCATATATTTCCAATAACGAAATGGTGTAAAACTACGTTATAAACTAATTATGATCCACTCAACCTTTAACAGATATTTACTAAACCGTTGCAAGATCGTCCTACTTTGTTCATTGAAGTCATTCAACGTCGTAATCATCAAGGCTTTGGGGCCGGAAATTTCAAGGTATTTATTCCATAATAAAATATTACTTTGCTAAGCTTCTTTATTTATTTCATATCTGATCTTTTGTCGGTATAGGCACTATTTGAGGCCATTGAACGTGATCAAGATGCACGTGGAAATCTAAATTGATTGTAATGACAACACCTCTTTATTAGTGATGTTGTCTATTGAATCAGCGAAATTATCGTAAAACTAACTTATGAACCCACTCTGAAATATTTAAACGATTCCTCATTCATTAATCGTCAATACTCCATAACCATCTTAGTCCTAGGCCCATACGTATAATATGTATACAATGCAATTATTTCGTGTATTTAAAGAACTTTTTTATATATGTTTGACAAAATATGCATATTATAACTAGGTTTAGGATATTTAAATAGTCTTTTGGCATCGAAACAGAAAAATGTAATGTAATGACTGTAATTTGGAAATCTGGTAATAAAGTTGCAAGCTTCAGTAGAAGCTAAAATGATAGTTTCAATGAAAATTATTGACTATTTTCATCGCAAAACGAAACCTGTTCGAACATTACTACAGTTTCCGTATAGCCGTGAAATAACAACTATAAAGTTATTTCGGAAAATTATATCCTTTAAAATACATTTTGTATAACGTTTTGCGGATTTGCTACGAATATTCCGGTATTGCATAAAAGCGTAAGGTTAATACCATGAAAGACATAGCGTAGGCTAAAAAAAAGGGGAAAAGCGTATAGTATACATATATGTATAAAAATTTGTTTTAAAAAAAGCGTATAGCATACATATATGTATAAAAAAAAAATTGAGTCGGTTATACTAGTTTGTATACTATATATTTATATAGGCATATAAATTTTTTATCTATGGCTTTTCACATGATATGTAATAATTAATTTGATCGGGGTCGGAAGTTGATCGCTTAAATATTTAGGTCATTTTACACAATTGATAAGAAAATTAATTCGATTTGCACCTAGAAAATGTGTACCAGGTTAGGGGATCGGATGATCGTCTGGAAAGATAGGTCGGAATGATAAGAACGTTCGGAACTAGAAACCTAAAATTACGTATTTCATAATGTTAAACATTACATATTCACATAAAAAGTTAACTTAGTATATTATTTTTCGTTTGTTTTTTTTTCCTAAAAAAAGACAAACATGTTACAGACACGGTTTTAATATTGTGAGTTGAAACCTAAATAAACATTGAATATATCGAACCTACCTATGCCACTTCAACAAATATTTCCGTTAGCTTATAAGTATCAGGTTGAATATTGCAATGTTCAGCTATTTAAAGATGATATTGAAATTGGTTTGTATTTATTCATAATCGTTCAAATTTATTTAAAAATTACGTAACGATAAAGATCTAAATAAGCATATAATGCCCATTAAAAAGTTTTTTAAACGTATCATTGGTGATATTAACTAACTTCTTTACAGCATGGAATATTTCGAAAAAGGATATGAAAAATCTAAATATTTAACGATGGGAAAGTTAATGCTTTATCTATTTTGACAAGTTTCCTTATCGCAGTCGAAATAGGTCAAAAATTAGAGTTCTGCCTCATCAATTTAAAAAAATTCATGTACAGAAAAAAAATTATTAATCTAAAATGAAGAGGTATAATAAAGATTAACCACAAAGAGTGCAGTCAACTTTTCTATAAAAAAAAGATTCTGGAAAAAAAAAGTTCTCTATAGAAAATTACTAAATTTTATTAAAAACGCATGGCATTTTTTATATCGAACTATTATGAAAGTCCAAAATTTTGAATTCATTATATCCAGAGTCGACTGTGCATAATTTATTGAAGAACGTCACAAAAAAGCCAACCAAATGGCTAAACAAATAAACTAAAGCCAAATGATTAAATAAACTAACTAGAGTTATAGTTTTAGAATGTCAAACTTCAAGATATTTGTATTATTTCTCTGTGTTGTATATGCATTGTAAATTGCATTAAAATATTGCTTTATATGATTGTGAAAAATAAAGTCTTATCGTTAGAAAAAATAGTCGAAAACTTAATTTCCGGACTATAATCCAGACTATCATCCGAACGATAATCCGATCCCAACCTGGTACACATTTTCTGGGTGCATTGGATTTGCACTATGATGCAATCGATAAAGAATATTAATTTAACTATGATGCAATCGATAAAGAAAATTGATTTAACTATGTTGCA